CACTGAATTCTGTCAATAGCCATAAGAGTTTGGAAAAGAACCTCAAGCTCCATAAAGGAATGGATCCCAACTGACACATTGATTTGAAGCCTTGTGAGACCCTAAATAGAGAAACTAGCTAAACCATGCTCAGACTTCTGACCCATGGAAACTGTGAGGTAATAAATGGGTATTGTTTTTAGCAACTAAGGTGTAGTAATTTGTTATGCAGCAATAGAAAATTAATACCACTACAGTACTACTTTGTATTATTAAGACAAAGGAAAGTGGGGAGATGGAAATAGCAGTGAAGTCTTATTTTGCTTCAGGTAATATGCTCAGAGCTCTACATACATTATTGTATTTAATACCTAATCAACTAGCATACTGGCAGAAAACAGGGCTCAGATAAGTTAATGCAATTTGGCCAAACTATAAAGCTACAAGACAGCAGAACTGACCAACTGGACCAAGAACTGGACCACCCATTTCTAGTACTTTTCTAATAATTGCTTAAATAATTTTTTTTTAAAAAGCAGTAAACTTAAAGCACTATACTCTAAGCTTTGTTAGGAAGTTGCTTCTATTACTAAAATGTTTGAGTACTTACCAGTATTTATTTATAACTACTAAATTATGTTTATTTATAAATTAGAAATGTTCTTACTTGAATGAGCATCTGATTTTGTTTGTAGGTTTCTTAATTTGTTTAGCCATTAGCTTGTTTAAAGGAAGAAGAGGGTGAGGGGAGGAGGAAGTGAGAGATGGAAGGATGGAAGGAAAGGCAGTTGTGATCCAAGAGTTGAGGGTCATTGAGGAGAAGCATAAAGGAGGCGGCGATTATGGGACAGAGGACTACATTTGAAAGCTAAAACAGCACAACAAATTTAAGCATTTCTTAAGTGTTTTCTATACTGTATTTTATGGACCAAATGCAACATAGTATCCTCAGGAGAATTTCTATACAACTTTCCTGGCAACTGTTGTGAGAACATTGAAAAGTCAAATGTGGGCTGTTATAGCTTATCTTCAACTGATCCTTTCTCTATTCTTTAGATTAAATCTTAAGTAGTGCTATTACAAGAGCTCCTAGTCATTGTAATAAAAATTGTAGTGCCCCTTCCACAGTTGGATTTTACAGTATGGTGATTAAACTTTTTGAAGTGCTGGTATTCTGGTTTCTATCCTCCTGATTTTATTCTCTCTTTTGTCTTGTTTTTGATTTATTTCAGAAACATTATTATGACTTGTGTTCATCATTTCAGAAGGCCTCATTTGTGTAAATTTTCAGTCTCCCAACTTTGTTCCCATAACATATCTTATGTCTAATTAGTTTCAGATATTTCAATAGCAGATGACAGTCTGGCTCAGACTAATTACAGCTGTTAATGAAAGATAATGATATAGTGGTAATAAAAATACCACATCTCTTTTCATATTTTGGAATTTACTCTAAGCTCCTCTGGAGCTCAAAGAGGATCATGTTTTCATTGCTCATCCCTGAGACTAAAAGAAATGTCAGAAATCACATTTCAGTACACAATATTTCTTTGCCCAGCTGGCTGTGTGCGCTTTCAGATTGCAAATCTAATCTGCTTTGCAAGATTTTCTACCTAATTCTTGGCTTTATCCCCAGATTAAATACTGAATGCTGTTTTAGCTGCTAACTTCTTTGGACAGGCCACGAGTACTGTAAAGTAGAGGCAACATTTTTCTTAGCAGTCACTTCTCAAGTTACAGAAATAACTGGTATAGTTTGCACTAAATCAGCTAGGAAAATATATCAATTAATCTCCTGCTGTTTGCATACCTTTTAGAGGTTCAGGGACAGGTAAAATGAATAAATAATAAAGGGATTGATAGCTGCTTATGAGACTAAAAAAGATTGGGAATACTTTTATATTTGTTTGTAATTTTAAAACGCAGAGGCAGACAAGATAACATAATTAAAACCTCTAAAATCAGAAACCCTGTGAATAAGTGGCCAGGAGTTGTTCAAGAAATTTTAGAATATCATCACATTCTGATCTGAGATACCTGAAGATTTGTATTTTTGGTATTTTTGTATAGGAACCAAAATACGTGGTTCCTATACAACATGTGCAAGCCACTCAAAATTTTCATCATCCTCCTCCTTAATGTCAGAGCCTTACAAAGTTTGTCTTCTTTCACTCGTAGTGTCCCCCGGTGCTAAGCTTACCACGGGGGTAATTGATAACATCAGATTAATACTTGTCAAAGCACAGTACAAAATGGACTTAATATCGACTTACCATTTTATAGATGTAAATGTGTAAAAAGTGGAAGGTACCAAAAGTTTAAAATAGTCTCTTGTTATGGTTTCTTATGAGAAATAAAGACTGAGAAAGGAGAACTGAACTTAGAAAACTAAAATTAGATGTTTACCAAGAGTGTGAATAAGCAAGACCTAGTTCCCTTTGCCACAAACTGCTTTGAAAGATAAAAGCAAACACCCTAAGACAATAAGTGTAACAATTGCTAAAAACCCTGCTCTATGCTCCCATGTCAATTAAAGTGACTTCAACTGGCCCGCTTTACCTGATCCCAAATTCTTAAGTCCCATCCCCAAACCACTCAAGCTCTAAACCTAATTATAATCAGAAGGCTTATGATTATAAGCCTGGTGATGAAAACCCAGAGTTTTTCAAGATACCATTAAGGCTTTACTCTTAGCAGCTCTCTCACTTGTTGAGCAATAACATGAACCAGTTTGTTTGAGACAGGCTTTCTTAGTGCTCTTTAAGCAGTTTACAGCACTTAGCGGCTTTCATTCTTTTTCTTTTTTTGTATTCTTGTTGAGTTTCTTCCATTGAGGATTAAAATAAAATCAATACAACATCAGCTTGCCATTGCTCAAACTATCCCCCTCATCTACTAAACACTATAGCTACAGTCCTAGTGAGCAGCTGAATGTTCACCCTATGTGTCTTGTTCATCCTTTGTTCTGCACCTTTGCTTCAAGCATCTGCCCAGGACTGTGAAGCCATGGCTCCTACACAACATGTGCAAGCCACTCAAAAATTTTCATCACCCTCCTCCTTAATGTCAGAGCCTTGCAAAGTTTTTCTTCTTTCACTCGTGGTGTCCCCTGGTGCTAAAAATTTTTTTTAAAAATTGTATAAATACTGTTAAAAAGTATAAGACAAGTTCTAGTCTAAATGCAGACTTCATTTATCAATACCCCCATTTGGACAATTATACTTGTGGAGTGGAGAATGAACCGATGTGTGTGTTTATGTGTGGGTGTGTACATATATATATCTCTCTCTCTCTTATAAATCCAGGTCACATGTGCACAGGCTCAAAAAAGTACTACCGAACACATGCACAAACACAACAACAATTTCCAAATAACTCAGGTTGACTTGTGTCTTAAAAACCAGAAAGAGATCTCAATACCTAATCTATAGAAATGCTAACTTAAATTTTTACTTTCTTCATAAGTCACAGCTGCTCCTCGGGCTCTCTCTGAAGCTTCTTCTACCTTTGGCCCACCTAATGTATCAGCCTTCTTCCTCTTCCCTCAATACAGTCCTTTTTTTATGTAAAGTGTTTAATGTGCCTCAGCATCACCTGGCGAGCCTGTTAAAACATAGATTGGGGGCTTCATGCCAGTTTCTGATTCTGTAGTTCTCTGATGGCACACAAAGATTTGCATTTCTAGCATGTGCCCAGGTGATGCTGATGGTCCAGGGATCACTCTGAGTACCACTGATGTAGGTCATCTTAGTCTCTCTGGTTGAGTTCCTTTTTCCCTCCTGTATCTATAAATTTATCTTCCACTTTCCATTCTCCCAATTCTCCACCACAAAAATACCAAAAATACAAATCTTACAAGATATTTTTCAACTTGGGCTGCCATAACAAAATACCATGAACTGGATAGCTTAAACCCCAGAAATTTATTTCTCACAGATCTGGAGGCTGGGAAGCCCAAAATCAAGGTGCTGGCCTAATCAGTTCCCCAGTGAGGGGCTTTCTTCTAGGCTTGAAGATGGCCACCTTCTCACTGTGTCCTCACATGGAAGAGAAAGAGCTTGCACCTCTCTTTCTCTTCTTACAAGAGCACTGATCCCATCATCAGTGTCCTACCCTTATAATCTCATCTAATCCTAATTGCCTTCCAAATACCATCATATTGAGGATTAGAACCTCAACAAGTTCATTTGTGGGAGCAGGAATATTCTGTCCATATGAATAATTAACTCTCCTGAGATGGCAAAGACTGAATTTCTCTTCACAGGCAGATAAATAAGGGGAAAATTCTGTAGTCTTGTTAATAACAATTGCACTTTAACTTGTACAAAATATACAACACCATGGGTGAATCTCCAAAATAGAAAAGAGGAAAGTCAAATACAAAAGATTATATGATTCCATTTACATGAAGTGCTAGAAATAAAAATATAGCGCCAGAAAACAGATTAATGGTTGCCTGACACTGGGGGCCAAAGAAAACTGACTACAAAAGGGCGCAAGGAAACTTTCTGGAATGATAGAAATGTTCTAAGTATTGGTTTTGCTGGTAATCACCTAGATGTATGCTATTGCCAAAATACATTAAGTTGTATACTTAAAATGAGTGAATTTTATCATATGTAAATTATGCCTCAGTAAATAAGGGAAACATACATGTACTTTATATGTATGTTATATATTAGTATATATGACTTTATATGTTGGAATGTTTCCAAAAACAAAGATTTCATTTAAATTAAGCTGATGTGACAACCAAAACTGTATGTGGAAAAATAAACTGATAGATTCTCTTCTGACTTTAAAGGAATGTTCTTGTTTTGTTTGTTTTGTATTTTATCCTTCATCTCATGTCTAAAGTGTGCCTGCCCAAGTTACAGGCTACATCACACACAATCAGTACCTCAATCAATGAAAGTAAGTGTGGCTCACTCTTCTCTTCCTGGGTGGGGTTCAAAGGATGTCCAAAGAATTGCATTTGTGAACTAAAGAATGCTACATTGCTTTAATTAAACACAACTTACCTGATGAATAAAGTACAATATAAGCTCAACGAAGGAAATGGTTTTGTTTAGGGCAGAATCTTCACTAATCTCTCACTGTGGCAATGCTTGGTGTGGTCTCTTCTCCATCTCTCAGAGGAATAATTATACAAGTTCTGCTTTCTGCTCACCTGCCTCCTCATGTCAGATTTGGCATCTCTATTGCAAGATAATTGCCGCTTGGAATATTCAATTAGCTTTTAATTAAATATTGCTCATTAATATAACTGCAAGACAATAAAACATATGTCATTTGATTAGCCAAAAATTCAAATATAAATTACATTCATTTTTATGCCAACATGCACTTTACCTAATGAGACATTTTTCACCCTGCTATAAAGATTGTGTGTGATCTTATTTTCTTTTAGAGATTTTTTTAATGTCTGCAAGCAAAGTTTTTAAATTACATATAGCAACTCATATTCTATTTCTTATCTCTACATTAACTAGAACAGAAAGTTATGTACAGTTAAGTACAATGAAACTTCTTTGTAATAAAAGGTGTTTCGATATTAACACTGTTTTATGTCATTTTATGTATAAAAATTTGCAGTGATCATACACGTAAGAAAACAGATAGCATTTTATTTAACAACATATCTTGTCTGGTTATAAAAGTAATATATAGTTATATAAGAAGACTTTTAAAATATTGAAAGGTAACCTATTAATACATTGATATATTTTGTTCCAGTTCTGTTCTGTTTTTTAAAACTAAAATTATAGCGTATATAATATGTAATCTGGCTTATTATATTGTGATCATGTATGTCACTCTAAAATTTAAAAATCTGAAAAGTTGTGATATTTCACCATATAAACTGATAATAATTTTTAGACATCCGGGTTTGTTTTTCCCAATTTTTCACTATTATAGGTAAAAGTAAGGCAAACATATTTATTCATAAGTCTTGGCCATATCTCTGGTCAGGACTGATTCCTGAAAATAGAATTACTGGATTAGAAGAATTAAGGGAATACTTGTATTCTCAGCTTCTCGTGTTTTTACAGGGTAGAGAGCAGCCTGGTGCTAACACTTCTAGGCCCTGTATAACTCCTGAAACTGATCCTTCCACAAGAAACCAGGGTGATTAATATGGTTACAGAATTGGAGAGAGTTGAAACCTCTGGTCTCCTGTGATTTCTGTGAAGAACATTCCATGCTTTGACCTCTTGGCTTACTTAGCTCTTGATGTAAGACCACTAGGGCAGGGTGGTACCCACCAATAGCAACACCCCAGTGAAGAGTGACTGCTATTTAAAGTTTCTCAACCTGTTTAAGTGGGTTGAGGTAGGGATGGGCATTAGGTCGTCAGAATTATCAGGCCCCAATGTCCAACATTGGGAGAAGGGGAAAAGGACCCATCAAGTTCTCCAGTCAGCTTTATTTGATAATCATGTACTTTATAGAAGACTTTGCACTCCTTCACTTAGTTTGGGCTCTGTTTCATCTGCAAGAAGCCAGGTAGGAAACAATTGCAATGAGTAGGATTCGGGTAGCAAACTTTTCACTTAATCTCCAACAAATGATATAATACAAGAGCTCAGAAGAGACAGACCAGTAAATTCACACTTTCAAATACTCCTACTCTAAATACATTGCAGTAACAGTAAGAAAAAAAAGGTGGGAAAAATAATAATAATAATAATAATTTTTTAAACTGTGCTAAAAAAAATAGTTTCATAGACCTGATATGGAAAAGAAATGAAAAATGTGAGCTGAGCTCTGGGTCGAGGCAAAGAGGAGTAATTAAGAGTTTGATTCCTGTGGAATTATGGAGAATAATAATCATCCACTAGGCTGGAAAGGAAATCAGAGTAAGACCTACTAAGTCAGGGTTTGGTAAAGATATTCAATTCATGAAAACAGGGTTAAGAATATGACTACCAACTCTACTTAAGACTGCAGATTGGGCCGGGCGCGGTGGCTCACGGCTGTAATCCCAGCACACAGTGAAACCCCATCTCTACTAAAAAATACAAAAAACTAGCCGGGCGAGGTGGCGGGCGCCTGTAGTCCCAGTTACTTGGGAGGCTGAGGCAGGAGAATGGTGTGGACCCGGGAGACAGAGCTTGCAGTGAGCTAAGATCTGGCCACTGCACTCCAGCCTGGGCAACAGGGCCAGACTCCGTCTCAAATAAAAAAAAAAAAAAAAAAAAGACTGCAGATTATAGGAGCCATGAAAGGCCAAAACAGAGATAACAGAATATTTCAAATGACATGAAAATTATATAATGTTAAGAAAGATGATCAAGAAACAACAATATGAGCTTGAATTTACTTCAATTGAATTTAATTGTTATGGCAGTCAGACCAAGGCTTTAAAATAAACATGTTAGTAGGACCTGAAATGACAAAAATGAAGGAAATATATACTTAAAAAGGACAATTATAAAATAAAAGCAGAAAATTTGTAAAGGACAGATGGAAATGAAAATAAAGAAGTCTTGAAAAATATAAATATAATCAAAATTCAAAACAAGTCAATGAATAAGAAAAACCCTAGATAGGACAGAGGAGAGAATTCATGAATCAGAACGTAGTCAGGATTCGTCAAAGCACAGTAGTGAAAACAAAAATGAATTGTATTTATATGTAATATATGTATACACATATGTACACATATGTATATGATAGTGCAGTAAGAGACAAGGATAAAAATTAATAAATGACAGCACATGTATAATAGAACTCTCCCTGACTACAGGGAAGAATAGAGCCACAAGTTAGTGACTGAAATTTTTCAGAATTGAAGGAAGCGTATGTCCTTTGAATATACATGAACTCCAACTACTGAGCTGGATAATAAAAATAAGTACATATTAAGCTATATCAAAGTGAAATTGTACAGTGTCAAGGAAAGAAGAGAAAATATTAAATGCTATCAGAAAGAAAAAAAAGAAAAAACATTATTTAGAAGAACCACTGACGCCAGATGCAGTGGCTCACACGCCTGTAATACTAGCACTTTGGAAGACCAAGGTGGGTAGATCACTTGAGGTCAGGAGTGCGAGACCAGCCTGACCAACATGGTGAAACCCTGTCTCTACCAAAAAATAAATAAATAAAAATAAAATAAAATAAAATACAGCCACACGTGGTGGCTGGCGCCTGCAGTCCTAGCTATTCAGGTGGCTGAGACACCCGAATCACTAGAACTCGAGAGATAGAGGTTGCAGTGGGCCAAGATCGCGCCACTGTACTCCAACCTAGGCGACAGAGCAAGACACTGTCTCAAAAAAAAACAAAGAAAAAAAATTGAGATTAACAGATTTTTTTGTAAAAGAAATTTCAGAAGGTAATGGTGTAAAATCTTGAAAGCACTCAGGGGTAGTAATTTTGTTTCGCCTTTTGTTATTGTTGTCTTGTTCTTCACAATCTCTCCAATATCAAAATTTTGGAACATCCTAGGTTTTAATCCTTGTATTTCTTCTCTTCTCACTCCCTCATGAGCTCATCCAGTCTCATAGTTTTACATGACATCTGTATGTTGATGAATTCTGTTACCTTTTGCTACACAACAAACCTCCCTAAAATATGGTGACTTAAAACAAGAATTTATTGTTACCTCTCACTGTTCTAAGGGTTCACAGGCTTAGCTGGGCAGATGTGGTTTGCTGCCCCACATATAGTTACAGTCAGCAGTAGCTGAGGCTGTAGGCATAAGGAGGCTTATTCATTTACAAGGTTGGGAACTGGATTTGGATAGAGTATTAGAAGCCAGTTAGGCATCCCTACCTCCATGAAGATTTCTACTCCATCACAGCATGATAGTCTCAGATATTCTTTCATAGTGGCAGATTCCCAGAGTAAATATTCGAGTGTGCCACGCAAAAGTTGCAAAGGTCTTACTACGTAGTGTTGAAAGTCTTAGAACATACTTTTGCCACATTCTATAGGTTAGGCAAATCTTTAAAGTCTAGAATCTATTTTCTTTTTTTTGAGAGTCTGGCTCCATCACCCAGGCTGGAGTCCAACGGCAGGATCTCAGCTCACCACAAACTGCCTCCCTCGTCCAAGCAATTCTCCTGCCTCAGCCTCCCAAGCAACTTGAATTACAGGCACCCGGGCGCCACATCCGGATAATTTCTTGTTTTAGTACAGACAGAGTTTCCCCACGTTAGCCAGGCTGCTCTCAAACCCCCCACCTCTGGTGATCCGCCCCCCTCAGCCTCTTACAGTGGTTGGATTAAACGCATGAGCCAAGGCGCTCAGCCTAAATTCTATTTTCAACGCAGTTGCTAGAGTTATTGATATTTTAGAACTGTATTGAATCATGTCACTTCGCTGCTCTAAACTCTCCAGTGGACTTCTTTACCATTCAGAAATAAGTTCTATTAACACCAAACAACATGAGCTTATATAAACTGACTTCTGTTCTTCTCTCAGACAATTCTTTCCCATACCTTTCCAACCTTCACCTCATTCATGGCACGATAGCCTCCTTCATATTTCTTCAAAATATCAGAGATGTGAGACTCATCTCACCTCAAAGCTTTGTACTTACGTCCGGATGTGGCAGATTCTTGGTCTTACTGACTTCAAGTATGCAGCCGCGAGGCGCGCGGTGTTACAGCTCTTAAAAACGGTGTGTCTGGAATCTGTTCTCTCTTCCCAGTGGGTTTGCGGTCTGGCTGACTTCAAGAGTGAAGCTGCAGGCATTCAAGATGAGTGTGACAGCTCTTAAAGGCAGCGCATACTGGAGCTGTTCACCCGTTCTTCCTGGAGGAGTCACGGTCTCACAGGCTTACAAACGTGAACTGCTAGCCTCGTGCAGACCTTGATGTTGAATCTTCCAACTCTTTAAAAATCAGCGTAAACCCAAAGAATAAACAAGCAACACGAACACGGCAGGAAACGCAAGCAGGTTGCCTCCAGCTGACTCCAGCGGCCTGCTTTTATTCCCTTATCTAGCCCCACCCACATCCTGCCGATTGGTCCATTTTACAGAGAGCTGATTGGTCTATTTTACAGAGAGCTGATTGGTCCATTTTACAGAGAGCTGATTGGTCCATTTTGACAGAGTGCTGATTGGTGTATTTACAAACCCTGAGCTAGACACAGAGTGCTGATTGGTGTATTTACAATACTTTAGCTAGACACAGAGTGCTAGACAGAAAAGTTCTCCAAGTCACTACTAGGCTAGCTAGATACAGAGTACCAATTGGTGTATTTACAAACTTTGAGCTAGACACAGAGTACTGATTGGTGTATTTACAAACCCTTAGCTAGACATAAAGGTTCTTCAAGTCCCCACTAGACTCAGGAACCCAGCTGGCTTCATCTAGTGGATCCTGCACCAGGGCCGCAGGTGAAGCTGCCTGCCTTTCCTGCACCATGCACCCTTACTCCTCAGCCCCGGGGCGGTTGATGGGACCCAGCGATGCAAAGCAGGGAGCTGCCCTGGTCAGGGACGCTCTGGCCCTGACGAGCTCAGTGGCAGGCCTCAGGTCCCTAGCCCCGCCCCGCAGGGAGGCAGGTAAGGACCCGCGAGTATTCAACCACAGTGCATGTGGGTCGGCAGTGCTGGGGGACCAGGCGCAACAGCTGTAGCTGCTGGCCCCGGTCCTAAGCCCCTCACCGCCCTGGGCCGGAGGCGCCTTTCTGCGGCTCCGTGTGCGGGGCCCACCGAGCCCATGCCGGAACCCGCGCCAGCGCCCGCTGGAACTCTCACTGGCGAACAAGAGCCAGGCGCAGCCGTGGTTCCCGCCCGCGCCTCTCCCTCCACAGCTCCCCGCAAGTAGAGGAAGGCAGCTCAGGCCTCAGCCAGACCAGAGAGGGACTCCCATGGTGCCCTGGCGGGCTGCAGGGCTCCTCAAGCACGGCGCCCAGAGGCCGAGGAGGCGCTGAGAGTGAGGGCTGGTAGCACGTTGCCACCTCTCAGTATCTTCTCAGACTTTTCTACCAGATGTTTGTAGAGCTTGATCCCTCAGAGCTTTGCTCAAACATCATCCCCCCAAGTGAGTTTTTATTTGCAAATCTGCTCAACACCCCACATTTTGTTATCTCTTCCTCCACTTTATATTCTGGCCATAAACGTTATGACTGTCAGAAATACTATATTTTTTTATTCAATCATTCATTTATTCATCTATTGACTGTCAATTAGACTGTAAGTTCCACAGACAAGGATTTTTTATTTTAATGTTTTTAATTGATAAATAATAATTGTACAAAATCATGGGGTACATAGTAATGTTTACATATGTATAATACATAGTGATCACATCAGGGTAATTAGTATATACATCTTCTCAAACATTTATCATTTCTTTGTGTGGGGAACATTCAATATTCTCCTTCTAGCTATTTGAATCTATATAATATATTGTTGTTAATTGTACTTATCCTACAGTGGTGGAGAACACTAAAACTTACTTATCCTATGTAGCTATAATATTGTATCCTTTAACAAATCTCTACTTATCCCTCCCTTCTCTCTATGCTTGCCAGCCTCTAGTATCCTCTGTTCTACTTTTTACTCGCATGAACAAACTTTTCTCAGCTTCTACATATAAGTGAGAATATGTGGTATTTAATTTTTTGTTGCTGACTTATTTCACTTAACATAACGTCCTCCACTTCCATCCATGTTACTACAGATGACAAGATTTTTATCTTTTTGTGGCTAAATGGTATTCCATTATGTATATATTGCATTTTCTTTATTCAGTCATCTGTTGTTGGACACATAGGTTGATTCCATATCTTGGCTATTGTAAATAGTATTGCAATAAATGTGGGGGTACAGATGTATCTTTCATATACTCATTTCCTTTCCTTTGGATAAATGCCACATTGTGGGATTGCTGGGTCGTGTGATAATTCTAGTTGCAGTTTTTTTAGGAACCTCCATACTTTTATTCATAGTGGCTGTAGAGGTTTACATTCCCACCAACAGTGTGTAAGAGTTTCCTTTTCTTCACATTTTCACCAGCATTTACTATTTTTTGTCTTTTTGATAGTAGCCTTCCTAACTGAGGTAGGATGATAGCTGATGGTGCATCTGAGTTGCATTTCCCCAGTAATGAGTGGTGTTGTGCATTTTTTCATATGTTTGTCTTCCATTTGTGTGACTTCTTTTGACAAATGTTTGTATGTTTGTTCAGACTTGCCCATTTTTCAATCAGATTTTTTTTTTTTTTTTTTTTTTGCAGTGAAGATGTTTGAGTTCCTTCTATGTGCTGTATATTAATCCCCTGTAGGATAAGTAGTTTGCAAATAGTTTCTTTCATTCTGCAGGTTGTCTTTTCACTCTGTTGATTATTTCCTTTATTGTGCAGAAGTTTATAGTTTGATATAATCTCATTTATTTTTGCTTTGTTGCCTGTGCTTTTGAGGTGTTACTCATGAAATCTTCTCTCAGACCCATGTCCTGAACCATTTTCACTACGTTTGCTTCTAACAGTTTTATAGTTTCATGTCTTCCATTTAGAGTTTTGATCCATTCTGAATTGATTTTTGTGTAGGGTGTGATGTGGGGGTCTACTTTCATTCTTCTGCATATGGATATTCACTTTTCCCAGCACCAACTATTGAAGAGATTGTTTTTTCCCCAATTAGCATCCTTTGCACCTTTGTCAAAAGTCAGGTAGTTGTAGATATGTGGATTAATTTCTGGGTCGCTATTCTGGTCCATTGGTCCATGTGTCTCTTTTTGTGATAGTACCATGTTGTTTTGATTACTATAGTTTTGTAGTATATTTTGAGATCTTGTAGTGTGATGCTTCCAGCTTTGCTATTTTTGCTCAGAATTGCTTTGGCTATTTGGGGTATTTTGGGGTTCAATAGAAATTTCAGGATTTTTTCCATTTCTATGAAGAATGTAATTGATGATTTGATAGGAATTGCATTGGATCTGTAGATTGCTTTAAGTAGTATTGTAAATTTAGCAATATTTATTTTTCTGATCCATGAACATGGGATGTCTTTTCATTTGTTTGTATTGTCTTCAATTTCTTTCATCAGCGTTTGTAGAGATCTTTCACATGGTTAAGTTTATTACTAGGTATTTTTCGTTGCTATTATAAATGGGATTGCCTTCTGGATTTCTTTTTCAGCTAGCTTGTGTTTGGTGTATAGAAATGCTACTGATTTATGTTTATTACCTTTGTATCTGGCTATTTGACTCAATTAGTTTTTCAGTTCTAAGAGTTTTGGGTAGAATCCTTAGGTTTTTCTTTACATAGTGTCATGTCATTTGCAAACAGGATCAATTTGACTTCCTCCTTTCCATTCTGGATGTCCTTTATTTCTTTCTTTTGCCTAATTGCTCTAGCTATGACTTCTGGTACTATGTTGAAAAGAGTGGTGAGAATAGTTTTGTTCTTGTTTGTAGAGAAAAAGCATTCAGCTTTTCCCCATTTAGTAACATGTTAGCTGTGGGTTTGTCATACATGACCTTTATCATATTGAGATACTTCTCTTCTGCACCTAATTTGTTGAGGATTTTTATCATAGCACAGTGTTACATTTTATCAAATGCTTTGTCTGCATCTATGGAGATGATCACATATATTTGCTCTTCTATTGATGTGATGTATGACATTTATTGATTTGTGTATGTTGAAACATTCTTGCATTCCCGAGATAAATCCTACTTCATCATGGTGTATTATCTGTTTGATGTTTTGTTGGATTCAGTTTGCTAGGATTTTGTTGAGAATTTTTACATCTGCGTTCTTAAGGGATATTCGCCTGTAGTTTTCTTTTTTCTTGTCTCCTTGTCTGGTTTTGATGTGAGAGTTATGCTGGCCTTGTAGAATTAGTTAGAAAGAGTTTTCTCTGTTTTAATTTTTTGGAACAGTTTGAGAAGAATTGATATTAATTCTTCTTTAAAGGTTTGGTAGAACTCAGCTGTGAAGCCATCCTTTTCTGTGTCGGGAGACATTTTTAACTGATTCAATCTCATTACTTATTATTGCTCTGTTCAGGCTTTCTGTTTCTCCTTGGTTCAATCTTAGTAGGTTGTATGTATTCAGTAATTTATCTATTTCCTCTAGGTTTTCAAATTTGTTGACTTATTGTTATTTATAGTAGTCTCTAATGATCATTTGTATGTCTGTGGTATCCATTGTGATGTCTACTTTTTCATTTCTGATTTTATTTATTTTGGTATTCTCTCTTTTTTTCTTAGTCTACATGAAGGTTTGACAATTTTGTTTACCTTTTCAAAAAACCAACTTTTTGTTTTATTCACCTTTTGTATTTTTTAGTGTCAATTTCATTTATTTCTGCTCCCATCTTTATTATTTATTTCTTTTTACTAATTTGGGTTTGGTTTGTTCTTACTTTCCTCATTTTTGGAGGTGTATGATTAGGTTGCTTATTTGAAATCTTCCCTGTTTTTTGATATAAGCATTTATCGTTATAAACTTGCCTCAATACTATTTTTGCTGTGTCTCATAGGCTTTGAAATGTTGTGTTTCTATTTGCATTAATTTCAAGAAATTTTACATTTTATTCTTAATTTTTTTTCACCCATTAATCAGTCAGAAGCATGTTGTTTAATTTTCATATATGTGTATAGTTTCAAATGTTCCTCTTTTTATTGCTTTCTAGTTTTATTCCATTTTGATTAGGTAAAATACTTGATATAATTTGATTTTTTAAAATGTGTTGAAACTTGTTTTGTCTCATAACATATGATCATCCTGGAAAATGTTCCATGTGCTGATGAAGAAAAAAAACCTGTGTATTTTGCAGTTGTTGGGTGAAATGTTCTGTAAATGTCTGTTAGGTCCATTTGATCTATGGTATAGTTTAAATTTGATGTTTCTTTGCTGATTTGTCCAATGCTGAGAGTAGGATGTTGATGTCCCCAACTGTTATCATATTTGGGTCTATAGTACCCTTTAGATCTAATAATATCTG